GAGAGCGGAGAGGTGTTGGGTGCTGTATTGAGCGGTACAGGAGAGGTGTTGTGGGTTGTGGCAAGCGGTGCAGGAGAGGTGTTATGGGTTGTGGTGAGTGGTGCATCAGGGCGGAGGGGTCTTGTGGGTTGTGGTGAGGCGTGCAGCAAGGCGGAGAGGTGTTGTGGGTTGTGGTGTTTGGTGCAGGAAAGCGGAGAGGTGTAGGGGGTTGTGGTATTTGGTGCAGGAGAGCGGAGTGGTTTTGACGGTTGTTGTGAGCGGTGCAGGAGAGGTGTTGTGGCTTGTTGTGAGTTGTGCAAGAGAGGTGTTGTGTGTTGCGGTGAGTGGTGCAGGAGAGTAGAGAGGTGTTGTGGATTGTGGTGAGCGGTGCATGAGAGCTGAGAGGTTTTAGGGGTTTTGGTGAGCCGTGCATGAGAGTGGAGAGGTGTTGTGGGTTGTGGTAAGCGTTGCAGGAGAGCGGAGAGGTGTTGTGGGTTGTGGTGATTGGTGCAGGAGAGTAGAGAGGTGTTGTGGGCTGTGGTAAGCGGTGCAGGAGAGCGGAGAGGTGTTGTGGGTTGTGGTTAGCGTTGCAGGAAAGATGTTTTGAGTTGTAGTGAGTGTTGCAGGAGAGGTGTTGTGAGTTGTTGTAAATGGTGCAGGAGCGCGGAGAGGTGTTGTGGATTGTAATGAAGGGTGCAGGAGAGCGGAGAGGTGTTGGGTGTTGTAGTGAGCGGTGCAGGAGAGATGTTTTGGCTTGTTGTGAGTGATGCAGGAGAGGTGTTGTGGGTTGTGTTAAGCGGTGTAGGAGAGGTGTTGTGTAATGCGGTGAGTTGTGCAGGAGAGTAGAGAGGTGTTGTGGGTTGTGGTGAGTGGTGCAGGAGAGCGGAGAGGTGTTGTGTGCTGTGGTGAGCAGTGCAGGGGAAGTGTTGTGGGTTGTGGTGATCGGTGCAGGAGAGCTGAGATGTTTTAGGGGTTGTAGTGAGCCGTGCAGGAGATCGGAGAGGTGTTGTGGGTTGTGGTGAGCAGTGCAGGAGAGATGTTGTGGCTTGTTGTGAGTGGTGCAGGAGAGGTGTTGTGGGTTGTGGTAAGCGGTGTAGGAGAGGTGTTGTGTAATGCGGTGAGTTGTGCAGGAGAGTAGAGAGGTGTTCTGGGTTGTAGTGAGCGGTGTAGGAGAGCGAAGAGGTGTTGTGTGTTGTGGTGAGCAGTGCAGGGGAGCGGAGAGGTGTTGTGGGTAGTGGTGATCGGTGCAGGAGAGCTGAGATGTTTTGGGGGTTGTGGTGAGCGGTGTAGGAGAGCGAAGAGGCGTTGTGTGTTGTGGTGAGCAGTGCAGGGGAGCGGAGAGGTGTTGTGGGTAGTGGTGATCGGTGCAGGAGAGCTGAGATGTTTTGGGGGTTGTGGTGAGCGGTGCAGGAGAGCAGAGAGGTGTTGTGGGTTGTGGTGAGTGATGCAGCAGGGCGGAGAGGTGTTGTGGGTTGTGGTGAGTGGTGCAGGAGAGCAGAGAGGTGTTGTGGGTTGTAGTGAGCCGTGTAGGAGAGCGGAGAGGTATTGTGGGTTGTGGTAAGCGGTGCAGGAGATCGGAGAGGTGTTGTGGGTTGTGGTGAGCAGTGCAGGACAGGTGTTGGGGGTTGTGGTGAGCAGTGCAGGACAGGTATTGTGGGTTGTGGTGAGTGGTGCAAGAGAGCGGAGAGGTGTTGTGGGTTGTGGTGAGCGGTGCAGAAACTTGTTGTGGGTTCTGATGAGCATTGCAGGATGTGTTGTGGGTTGTGGTGAGCCGTGCAGGAGAGCGGAGAGGTGTTGTGGGTTGTGGTGAGCGGTGAAGGAGAGGAGTTGTGGTTTGTGGTGAGTGGTGCAAGAGAGGGAGAGGTGTTGTGGGTTGTCGTGAGCGGTGAAGGAGAGGAGTTGTGGTTTGTGGTGAGTGGTGCAAGAGAGCGGAGAGGTGTTGTGGGTTGTGGTGAGCCGTGAAGGAGAGGTGTTGTGGTTTGTGGTGAGTGGTGCAAGAGAGCGGAGAGGTGTTGTGGGTTCAGGTGAGCGGTGCATGAGAGGTGTTGGGGGTTGTTGTGAGCAGTGCCAGAGAGGTGTTGTGGGTTGTGGTGAGCGATACAGGGACACGAAGAGGTGTTCGGGATTGTGGTGAGATCGTGCAGGAGAGCAGAGAGGTGTTGTGGGTTGTGGTGAGCGATACAGGGACACGAAGAGGTGTTCGGGGTTGTGGTGAGATCGTGCAGGAGAGCAGAGAGGTGTTGTGGGTTGTGGTGAGCGATACAGGGACACGAAGAGGTGTTCGGGGTTGTGGTGAGATCGTGCAGGAGAGCGGAGAGGTGTTGTGGGTTGTTGTGAGCGGTGCATAAGAGCAGAGAGGTTTTGGGCGTAGTGGTGAGCCGTGCAGGAGAGGTGTTGTGGGTTGGTATGAGCGGTGCAGGAGAGCAGAGAGGTGTTGTGGGTTGTGGTGAGCCGTGCAGGAGAGGTGTTGTGGGTTATGGTGAGCCGTACAGGAGACTAGAGAGGTGTTGTGGGTTGTGATGAGCGGTGCACGATAACAGAGAGGTTTTGTGGGTTGTGGTGACTGGTGTAGGAGAGCGGAGAGGTGTTGTGAGTTGTGGTTAGCGTTGCAGGAAAGGTGTTTTGAGTTGTAGTGAGTGTTGCAGGAGAGGTGTTGTGAGTTGTTGTAAATGGTGCAGGAGCGCGGAGAGGTGTTGTGGATTGTAATGAAGGGGGCAGGAGAGCGGAGAGGTGTTGGGTGTTGTATTGAGCGGTGCAGGAGAGGTGTTGTGGGTTGTGGTAAGCTGTGCAGGAGAGGTGTTATGGGTTGTGGTGAGTGGTGCATCAGGGCAGAGAGGTGTTGGGGGTTGTGCTGAAGCGTGCAGAAGAGCGGAGAGGTGTTGTGGTGAGCTGTGCATGAGAGGTGTTGGGGGTTGTGTTGAGTGGGGCAGGAGAGGTGTTGTGGGTTGTGGTGAGCAGTGCAGGACAGGAGTTGGGGGTTGTGGTGAACGGTGCAAGAGAGGTGTTGGGGGTTATGGTGAGCGGTGCAGGAGAGGTGTTGTGGGTTGTGGTGACTGGTGTAGGAGAGCGGAGAGGTGTTGGGGGTTGTGGTGAACGGTGCAAGAGAGGTGTTGGGGGTTGTGGTGAGCAGTGCAGGAGAGGTGTTGTGGTTTGTGGTGAGTGGTGCATCAGGGCGGAGAGGTGTTGTGGGTTGTGGTGAGAGGTGCAGGAGAGGTGTTGTGTTGCGGTGAGTGGTGCAGGAGAGCGGAGAGGTGTTGTGGGTTGTGGGTTGTGGTGAGCGGTGCAGGAGAGGTGTTGTGGGTTGTGGTGAGCGGTGCAGGAGAGCGGAGAGGTGTTGTGGGTTGTGGTGAGCGGTGTAGGAGAGCGGAGAGGTGTTGTGGGTTGTGGTGAGTGGTGCAGGAGAGCAGAGAGGTCTTGTGGGTTGTGGTGAGCGTTGTAGGAGAGCGGAGAGGTGTTGTAGCTTGTGATAAGTGGTGCAGGAGAGTAGAGAGTTGTTGTGGGCTGTAGTGAGCGGTGCAGGAGAGCGGAGGGTGTTGTGGGTTGTAGTGAGCGGTGCAGGTGAGCGGAGAGGTGTTGTGGGTTGTAGCGAGTGGTGCAGGAGAGCGGAGAGGTGTTGTGGGTTGTGGTTAGCGGTGCAGGAGAGGTGTTTTGAGTTGTAGTGAGTAGTGCATGAGAGGTGTTGTGGGTTGTGGTGAATGATGCACGAGAGCGGAGAGGTGTTATGGGTGGTTGTGAGTGATGCAGGAGAGCGGAGAGGTGTTGTGGGTTGTGGTGAGCGGTGCAGGAGAGCGGAGAGGTGTTGGGGGTTGTGGTGAACGATGCAGGAGAGCGGAGAGGTGTTGTGGGTTGTGGTGAGCCGTACAGAAGAGCGGAGAGGTGTTGTGAGTTGTGGTGAGAAGTGCAGGAGAAGTGTTGTGGGTTGTGGTGTTCGGTGCAGGAGAGCGGAGAGGTGTTGTGGGTTGTGTTAACTATTTCTGGAGAGCGGAGAGGTGTTGTGGGTTGTGGTGAGCGGTGCAGGAAAGGTGTTGTGGGTTGTGGTGAGCGGTGCAGGAGAGGTGTTGTGGGTTGTGGTGAGTGGTGCAGGAGAGCGGAGAGGTGTTGTGGGTTGTGTTAACTGGTTCAGGAGAGCGGAGAGGTGTTGTGGGTTGTGGTGAGCGGTGCAGGAGAGGTGTTGGGGGTTGTGGTGATCGGTACAGGGGAGGAGTTGGGGGTTGTGGTGAGTAGTGCAGGATAGGTGTTGTGGGCATTGGTGAGCGGTGCTGGAGAGGTGTTGTGGGTTGTGGTGAGCTGTGCAGGAGAGGTGTTTTGAGTTGTTGTGAGTGGTGCAGGAGAGGTGTTGTGGGTTGTGGTGAGTGGTGCAGGAGAGCGGACAGGTTGAACAAGAGATTGGCAGCAGAAGAGACTATGTCTAAAAATATTTTGTCGGCCTTAAAGTTGCAAATGATAAAATTGTTTATATTTATTTTGAAAATATTGTTTCCAGAATGTATCCAGAGATTACCAGCCGGCACATTAATCAGTCCACCAGTTTTTAGGAACTTGTATTGTAAATTTGAACTATCTCTGTACCTTCCTTCACATTAAGGGATATTTTCCCTGTGGTAGTCATACATTGTGAATGAGAGAGGATGCTGGCAGGTCCGGTGATGAACGTAGAAATCTGAACGTTCAGATTACTATCTGAACTTGTAATGCTAAATAATCTTTCTCGTTCCAGACGTTTTAAGAACATAAAATTCTTTATTTTATTGTTACCTCTAGCAGAGTAATTAAAATTTTTGACAGTTGCAACCTGTCGATTGTGCTAATTTAATATTGGTATTTTGTCATTTGTATCAAAACTATCCCTATCTGTCAGTAGTGACACTGTCAGTGCCTTTAAATTGATATATTTCAAATGCATTTTTTAATTTAATAATTAGAGATGAGCAGTTGGATCATAACTTTAATAGATTTTGAAAATGGTAAACACAAATAAATGAATAATTAGTGGAAGTTGCTTAAGTGTTTTATCTATACAGGTAATGGTGGACACAGTTGGACAATGCTTTGGAATCATATTCTCGTCTTTCTTGCGGGAGCAAGAAGCGTCCTCCGTCTTGACTGCTGTGATCTTCAACATGTTTGGTTTCCTGTGGTGTTTGACGGGGCCACCGCTGGGGCCATTGGTCTCGGAGTTTGGCTGGAGGAAGATAACATTTGTGGCCTCCATCATGATCTCTCTCTCCACCATCACATCAGCGTTCGTTACCGCCCCTTGGCTTCTCATCTTCACTTACTCCACTTTAGGGGGTAAGTCTTTTCTCAGAGCCTAGTTCACATGACGCACTCAATAATTGGTAATATATTTAATGTGACAACAACAAGCTTAATGGTACAGTAACGGAATGAGACATGAGTTTGGGAGGGAATTATCAGGGGAAAAGCGCCAAGCCATTACGATTATATAGCACTTGGAAGGAGTCAAGATAAGGATTTTGGGGTGGGACAGAGGGAAGGAATGGTGACCAACCACTTGGACGGTCGGGGATTGAACGCCGACCTGCATGAAGCAAGACAGTCGCTCTACCGTCCAGCCCAAGTGGTTGGGCTATGAGTTTGGGAAGTGCCAAGTACTATTGGTACATATTAGCAGGTTTGGTCCAGAAAGACAACACTTGGTGTCCAGGGTGGACAGCACAGCGCCATATTGTCCGAGATCACCCAGCAAGGCATCACTTGGTGTCCAGGGTGGACAACACAGCCCCATATTGTCCGAGATCACCCAGCAAAGCATCACTTGGTGTCCAGGGTGGACAACACAGCCCCATATTGTCCGAGATCACCCAGCAAGGCATCACTTGGTGTCCAGGGTGGACAACACAGCCCCATATTGTCCGAGATCACCCAGCAAAGCATCACTTGGTGTCCAGGGTGGACAGCACAGCCCCATATTGTCCGAGATCACCCAGCAAGGCATCACTTGGTGCCCAGGGTGGACAACACAGCCCCATATTGTCCGAGATCACCCAGCAAGGCATCACTTGGTGTCCAGGGTGGACAACACAGCCCCATATTGTCCGAGATCACCCAGCAAGGCATCACTTGGTGTCCAGGGTGGACAACACAGCCCCATATTGTCCGAGATCACCCAGCAAGGCATCACTTGGTGTCCAGGGTGGACAACACAGCCCCATATTGTCCGAGATCACCCAGCAAGGCATCACTTGGTGTCCAGGGTGGACAACACAGCCCCATATTGTCCGAGATCACCCAGCAAGGCATCACTTGGTGTCCAGGGTGGACAACACAGCCCCATATTGTCCGAGATCACCCAGCAAGGCATCACTTGGTGTCCAGGGTGGACAACACAGCCCCATATTGTCCGAGATCACCCAGCAAAGCATCACTTGGTGTCCAGGGTGGACAACACAGCCCCATATTGTCCGAGATCACCCAGCAAGGCATCACTTGGTGTCCAGGGTGGACAACACAGCCCCATATTGTCCGAGATCACCCAGCAAGGCATCACTTGGTGTCCAGGGTGGACAACACAGCCCCATATTGTCCGAGATCACCCAGCAAGGCATCACTTGGTGTCCAGGGTGGACAACACAGCCCCATATTGTCCGAGATCACCCAGCAAGGCCCCTTGTGTCTTACGGGACTCAACAAGGGACTGGCATGACTCAAATTACACAAGTCCAAGCAGAATAAGAGACCAAACGTGCTATTTGAATGTGTATTCGGTTCCCTTGGGGATTGGTTCTAGGTTCGATTCCCAGGCGATTGATTGTAGGTTCGATTCCCAGGCAGGGCGAAACATTTAAGTTGTGTTGTGGGTTGAAACGTACGAAACATTTTCGTACATCCGATGCGACTGTTCATCTAGCAGGAAATAGGTACCTGCAAGTTAATGGACTGTTGTGGACTGCATCCTAGGTGTAGATCAGTCGCTAGCTAGGGATATCTCAGTGAGCCTAACAGACTCCGTCTTCCTAATAGTGTAAAACTTCAGTATATGAAGTTAAACGAACCCAGTATTATATGTAAAAATAAAATGTGATGTGTATGTCACATCTACATGTCACATATGAGGCATTTTATCAGGTTACCTGTTGCAGGTAAGCAACATTTATGCAACTTTTCTTTCACTTACTGCCTCTATTCACCTAGCAGTAAATAGTTACCTTCGAGTTATGCAACTGTTGAGGATTGCATCCTTGGGAAGGTCAGCAGCTGGCCACGGAGGACCTGGAGATCCATCCTTGGGAACACCAGGTCAGGGAGTGTTGTCCTTCACCACACACCAGCAACATCACTGTGTGTAGTCACCAGGTCAGGGAGTGTTGTCCTTCACCACACACCAGCAACATCACTGTGTGTAGTCACCAGGTCAGGGAGTGTTGTCCTTCACCACACACCAGCAACATCACTGTGTGTAGTCACCAGGTCAGGGAGTGTTGTCCTTCACAACACACCAGCAACACCACTGTGTGTAGTCACCAGGTCAGGGAGTGTTGTCCTTCACCACACACCAGCAACATCACTGTGTGTAGTCACCAGGTCAGGGAGTGTTGTCCTTCACAACACACCAGCAACACCACTGCGTGTAGTCACCAGGTCAGGGAGTGTTGTCCTTCACAACACACCAGCAACATCACTGTGTGTAGTCACCAGGTCAGGGAGTGTTGTCCTTCACCACACACCAGCAACACCACTGCGTGTAGTCACCAGGTCAGGGAGTGTTGTCCTACACAACACACCAGCAACACCACTGTGTGTAGTCACCAGGTCAGGGAGTGTTGTCCTTCACAACACACCAGCAACACCACTGCGTGTAGTCACCAGGTCAGGGAGTGTTGTCCTTCACAACACACCAGCAACACCACTGTGTGTAGTCACCAGGTCAGGGAGTGTTGTCCTTCACAACACACCAGCAACACCACTGCGTGTAGTCACCAGGTCAGGGAGTGTTGTCCTTCACCACACACCAGCAACACCACTGTGTGTAGTCACCAGGTCAGGGAGTGTTGTCCTTCACAACACACCAGCAACACCACTGCGTGTAGTCACCAGGTCAGGGAGTGTTGTCCTTCACAACACACCAGCAACACCACTGTGTGTAGTCACCAGGTCAGGGAGTGTTGTCCTTCACAACACACCAGCAACACCACTGCGTGTAGTCACCAGGTCAGGGAGTGTTGTCCTACACAACACACCAGCAACACCACTGTGTGTAGTCACCAGGTCAGGGAGTGTTGTCCTTCACAACACACCAGCAACACCACTGCGTGTAGTCACTAGGTCAGGGAGTGTTGTCCTTCACAACACACCAGCAACACCACTGTGTGTAGTCACCAGGTCAGGGAGTGTTGTCCTTCACAACACACCAGCAACACCACTGCGTGTAGTCACCAGGTCAGGGAGTGTTGTCCTACACAACACACCAGCAACATCACTGTGTGTAGTCACCAGGTCAGGGAGTGTTGTCCTACACAACACACCAGCAACACCACTGTGTGTAGTCACCAGGTCAGGGAGTGTTGTCCTACACAACACACCAGCAACATCACTGTGTGTAGTCACCAGGTCAGGGAGTGTTGTCCTTCACAACACACCAGCAACATCACTGTGTGTAGTCACCAGGTCAGGGAGTGTTGTCCTTCACAACACACCAGCAACATCACTGTGTAGATGTGAGATTTTTCTTTTTCCATCAGACTCTGGGAAGCTAGATGTAAAGATTTTTCTTACTTTACTTTTCTTTACTTCCCTCTCTGGGAAAGGTTTTACCACCAGGCAGAAAGGAGTGTGTCGCCAACATGTTGGGTGTGGCACACAGCTTATACTTTAAAAGGTGGCAAAGAAAGGCGGGAGCAGCCGCAAGAACTTCAAGAAGTTAAAGTCCTTATCCACTGAGTCATCGGGTTCCTCGAGTGCCATAGCACTAGTAACCAACGGATTCTCACATCAAAATATTTGATGAGTGGCACTATGAATCAAGTTCGAAACCAGAAGTAGGCCTTCAATTAAAAAAATCACAGGTAACGTTTCAAATGAATTCACCGGAATGGTAACCTTCATTCCTTTCCACGACTCTTACATCTAGAGAGGGCAGCTTCCCATTACTCTTCATCTCATAAGTGAAACTTAACACCGAATTTTGCTCGAATGCCTCCTTCAACTGCTGCAAACGTCAGACATCAGGTACTTGCATAAATATGTCGCCAACGTACCTGCAGTATATGGCAGGCTTTAAGTCCATGCCAACTAAGACCCTCTGCTCTATGGTGCCCCATGTAAAAAATTGCAAACAGGACATCTAAGGGAGAACCCATGGCGACACCATCTACGTGTTTATACATGTGCCCATCGGAACACAAGAAGGGTATCTCTTTAGTACAACCAACAAGAAACTTTTAGGGGAAGCTGCCCTTTCAAGATGTAACAGTCGCGGAAAGAAAAATAGGCTTCCACACTGCAGTCTACCCTAAGGAAACGAATATAGGAATGTGCCTTAATGCCAATAGTGACTGCCCTGACAGTTAAAGGCGGAGTGTTGTCAACGCTTACGCTAACTGTGAGGTAGGTAACTGTGGTAACTGTGGTAACTGTTACGTTTACAGTCTCCGTGGTGTAGTGGTAAGACACTCGCCTGGCGTTCCTCGAGCGCTATGTCATGGGTTCGTATCCTGGCCGGGGAGGATTTACTGGGCGCAATTCCTTAACTGTAGCCTCTGTTTAACGCAACAGTAAAATGTGTACTTGGATGAAAAAACGATTCTTCGCGGCAGGGGATCGTATTCCAGGGACCTACCCGAAACGCTACGCGTACTAGTGGCTGTACAAGAATGTAACAACTCTTGTATATATCTCAAAAAAAAAAAAAAAAAAAACTGAGCTCACAGCTCTGACTGGAAGCAGGTCGACGAGGAACTCTGTAGAGTAAGTCAGGTACTAGTCAATAATGGTTTCTCTAACGGTTATGTTGAATACGTTCTTAAAATAAAGGTGATACGCCATGCCTCCTCTGAAGAATCAACTAACACTCCACCTGTACCTCCTATTAAAGTGTTTTTGTTCTTTTCGACGGCTCATAAAACGGAGGAAAGTGTCCTGAATGATATTATTGATAGGAACGTAATCCCCACAGACACAAAACAGGAGATACAATTAACAATGTACAACAAAAACAAGAAGTTGGCAAACCTACTTAAGAAGAACTCTCCAGACACCAAACAGAATGCCTTAAAAAAAGACCAACGTCATCCCCAAATGGGGACTGTCAGTCCCAAAGATTCCAGTATATA